ATAGTGTTTACCTGACAATACTTAACATGGTACATGTCTAACATGTTTATTACCATAGTGTTTACCTGACAATACTTAACATGGTACATGTCTAACATGTTTATTACCATAGTGTTTACCTGACAAGGCTTAACATGGTACATGTTTAACATGTTTATTACCATAGTGTTTACCTGACAAGGCTTAACATGGTAGATGTTTAACATGTTTATTACCATAGTGTTTACCTGTCAATACTTAAAAAGAATGAAAGTCTGATTTTTCATAAAAACAAAAGTCAGATATTTTTTCGTATTTCTCGGTTATTTTGTCTATTTAAGTTATTTTTAAACCATAACTAAAATATAGCATATGGACGAACATATAAAAACAAAAACAAAAAATCAACTTATCACCAATTATATTGTCTGTTCTCTATGATGGATTAGCCAAGATCTTGATTTTTTTATCACGAGAAATATTTTTTTATTATTATTGTTACTCCCTGAACAAATCAGAGAAAATATGGCTAATCTTTACGGTTTGAAAATACACAAAGTTTGTCTGGTTTCTTTGGAAATTTTCACATACATTGTAAAATGTTATATTTTAAAAGTACTTAAATAAAATTAGCAATACTCTGGTAAAACGAGATGAACTATGAAACGCAAGCAAACTGACCTTATTTTAAAAATAATTTTGTCCGGAAGTAACTTAGAGCTTCTTTTGCCGGATTATGAACCTAATGAGTCAATGGTTCGCGTCCCGTTGCCGCAAAATTGCGCTCTGCACTCTGGGGCCGTGTGCGCGTTATAAGATTGAAGGTCAAATCACACTATTCTTTCAGAGCTGCCCAAAATTTGGCGAAGGGTGCTGATAACTAGCTGCCCTAAAATTTGGCGAATGGTGATGATAACTAACTGCCCCAAAATTTGGCGAAGGGTGCTGATAACTAGCTGCCTCAAAATTTGGCGAAGGGTGCTGATAACTAGCTGCCTCAAAATTTGGCGAAGGGTGCTGATAACTAGCTGCCCCAAAATATGGCGAAAGGTGCTGATAACTAGCTGCCCCAAAATTTAGCGAAAGGTGATGATAACTAACTGCCCCAAAATTTGACGAAGGGTGCTGATAACTAGCTGCCTTCGTTCTAGTCCGTCGGTTCAAATCGATAGAAAGACGAATTATTACTTGGCTTTAAACCGAAGTATATGAAAAATCATATGTGGTTTCGTACCATACCAGATGGAAAGATCGTGTCTTTAGTTTTCACTGTTGTAACGATATACCAAAAGAGGGATATTTTTTGTGGATACGCGTGAGAGTACTTCGATGAATGTAATGAAATTCAGCGAGCTTCGAACGTTTTTCGCTTAATGTCATAATTATGATATTAAACCATCTTGTTATAATGGTGGTAGTATTACAATCATCCTGTTTACTTGACATTAAAGGTAAGAATAATAACAAACAAATATCAAGAAGTAGTCGTTCTGAGGTCAGTGGTTCAGATTCCGCATTGACCAACGTGTTGCGACAGGATACCACCGCTAAAGGGAGGAGAACCTGTGCTGTGGGCGGTGATAAACTTCTCTGACATGTAAATCAAATAAAACTATTTCTGTGTTTCGTAATTTAATCATGTTTTACTTGTAAATGTTTCGAGGTCAAATGTCATAACTTATAAGACAATGAAATTATTATGTTATCAGTTCAAAGGTTCTGACTAAAGTGACAAAATTTGCTGTGCCTTTTGTTTGGATTAAACCAAATGATTATGGAAATCGTTTCATTTGGTCCGAACAAAAAAAAATGACGGGCTGGGCGTGGTCTAGTGGTCAACATGCCGGACTGCGGATTGATTGAAAGGTCTAAAGTTCGCGTCGCGATGACGCTAGACACTCTCCGCATTTTCAGCCGTAATGCATTAAATAAGAGTAACAGTCGATCGAGTTATTCGGTTCAAAGCCAGATATATCCCTTGTGGCGGCGAGTGTTGCTTTCTGGCTGCCTTTCCCAAGTGTGCTGATGGTTGAAAATAGCAAACACGCAACACGATGCCTTTGTCGTGATAATAATCAAACATAAGGCAGGAAAGATACGATTGATTATATTTAAAAAAAACATTTCAGTTATTCTTTAAGTAAGAAGAAATGCGTCTTAAATAGTCTTAGCATTCTTTGTCTACAAGACTACTAACAACACTGTACTGGAGTTGAAACATGCTTCTCTAATACAAGAATTAAAACTATACATTGAAACACACACACACCGGTGGCTAGCGGTATTTCTGAGACCTTATAACGCTGAAAATCGGGTTTCGATACCTGCGGTGGGCAGAGCACAGAAAGCCCTCATTGTGTAGCTTAATAAAAATGAGTGGATCATACTGTACACGTATTATGTTTTGTATATTTTTCAGGTCGCTTTGATTTATTGGAAAAGATTCTGTGTTGGTGTTTTAATTTTTACTGCCAAATGTAAACTGTTTTCGGTAAAATAGTGAGTGAACCTAACCTAACCTATCTTTTGCTCTTACTTTTACAGATTTTAAAATTATAATATGAAGAGAGAACCTAAAGTAATTGATAACACAAAACTATAGGATATTATTGATATCACGTATATCATATGAAGAGAGAACCTAAAGTAATTTATAACACAAAACTATAGGATATTATTGATATCACATATATCATATGAAGAGAGAATCTAAAGTAATTTATAACACAAAACTCTAGGATATTATTGATATTACGTATATCATATGAAGAGAGAATCTAAAGTAATTTATAACACAAAACTCTAGGATATTATTGATATCACGTATATCATATGAAGAGAGAATCTAAAGTAATTTATAACACAAAAAGTCCGAGCATATTGATCATTTTTCACAATTAATACACTGATATCAGATTTAAACATGTAGTATTGATATTGAAAGTTTACAATGTGGTTATAAAGAAATCATTCATACACTAGTCTTAATGACAAGCAGATATTTTAAAATGTTGCTAAAAAAACAAGCAATTCTTAGAAATGTATTTACTACGTGAAACTAGAGCATCATTTTAATTCGTAGAGAAATATTTTTATTAAAGAAAAAAACGAGGTGAGCTAATGCATTTAAATAGTTGTCCTAAGCCTAATTTCAGACTCATTTAGGCCTAATGCGTTTGTTATCGTAATAAGTTCACATTATTAATAAAGATGCCATTAGAGATACTTAAACAATATCATTAAATTGTATTGTTTCGTCACTGGAATAGAAATAAAATAAGTACCTTAGGTGTAACAGGTTTAATTTTTATAGCAATTTTTCATTTTGTTTCCAAAATATCGTCTTCTGTGTTTTTCCTCAGTATCTAAAAATACCCAGCTCCTGTCAAACCCCATGTTAGTGTTACTCTCTTGTTATCAGGCTGACCGGGAAGAAGGATTTCCAAGAGGCAATGGCCAAACACCTTTCCCTGCTGACCAGACTCGAGATCTTGATGGGAGTGTCAATAAGACAGAAGGGATTGAACGGGGAAATTGGACCGGAAAATATGATTTCATTCTCTCTCTACTTGGTTACTCAGTAGGGCTTGGAAATATTTGGCGTTTTCCTTATCTGTGTTACAGAAACGGTGGTGGTTAGTAACACATACAAAACATAACTCTTAGTGTTAGTTATAGACTGTTACAGTAACCGGAGTTGTTTGTGAGATATAGAAATATAGCTCTTAGTGTTAGTTGTAGACTGTTACAGTAACCGATGATTGTGGGTACCAGGCCCTCCCTCTCAGAGGTTCAGAGAGGCCCGGGCCACTTCTATCTTTTGAGGCCCCCTGGTTATAATAAAAAAAATAATCATGATACCTGAAAACAAAATAAGACAATGATTAGCCCAAAAGAAAAATGGAACATAATTATAATATTTAAATATTTTCTTTAACATATACTTATTAATGTTAATTAACATTCAATAAATGCTTTGTAGTCGTGGCTGTTAGTAACATATAAACTTTCATATTTTAGTATAAGTTGTGGTTATTATTCAATAATTTAACAAATAATTAATGATTAAAAACATTTAAATATGGTATGTAATTATCGTGTAGTCATTTTAATATCAAGTGTTAAGTGGGAAATATATGGAACTGGAATAAATAAATAAAGCTATTTTTATTAGTCAACAGCATAATGTGATTGATCTGATTGGCTAACATCTATAACATCAGATGATCTGATTGGCTAACATGTCATAATTTATTCTACTTGAGAAATATATATATAATAAAGCCTTACGAGATATTTATTTCAAGACCCAACATCTTATCTTTTATGAAGTATTTTAAGTTACTCATGAAACACGAATATAATATCACCATCTTCTGTTTCTATGACAACCTTAAAAATAAGGAAATCGGTTTATGGTACTGTATCAAGAATACGAGGAAAAGGGTTCCATCTGCTGTCTCTCTTTGTTTATTGCAAACAATGGAAGGTTTTCTATGTTAGATAATATTGCACCAAGGTTCATCCTCGCTTATTTTATTCAAATTGTAACATAGTTTTGACACTGATATGTTTTTTCTAAGCATATTGTCTCTAATTCTAGAATTTCAAAATGTCTTTTGTTTTATAATTTGTAGCAAGGTGAATTCTTTTAAACACAAATAACCTTTGAATGTTTATGAAAGTATCTATACATTCTTATCAAAGCTCATTCATAGATTAGGACTAAAAACATAACTCTGAAAATAAAGTAGCTAGTTTAACTGAGAGTGTATAATGTCACAAAACAACACATCGATAGAAAGCAAAAACTTATAATAATTAAAAATTAACTTAATTTTCAACCTCAAACACATAAAGTTCGGTTGATTTATGTTAAGAACTGACCTTACGTGAAACTCTAGTATTGAAGTTGTAAAAACCTGGACAGAACAGACTCAAACTTTAAATATTCAATCTAGTTAGCAATCTGGACAGACGCAATCCCTTAGTATACAGTCTACGTAGCAATCTGAACAGACTCAATCCCTTAGTATAAGTATACGTAGCAATCTGAACAGACTCAATCCCTTAGTATACAGTCTACGTAGCAACCCGAACAGACTCAAACTCTCAAATATTCAATCTAGTTAGCAATCTGGACAGACTCAATCCCTTAGTATACAATATACGTAGCAACCTGAACAGACTCAATCCCTTAGTATACAGTCTAC